ACTTACACTACTACTACCACTACTACTGCTAATACGAGCTACTACTACTACTACTACTACTACTACTACTACTACTACTACTACTACTAGTACTACTACGACTACTACTACTACTACTACTACTACTACTACTACTACTACTACTACTACTACTAGTACTACTACGACTACTACTACTACTACTACTACGACTACTACTACTACTACTACTACTACTACTACTACTACTACTACTACTTTAATTTAAATATTAATACTAACTACTACTACTACTACTACTACTACTACTACTACTACTACTACTACTACTACTACTACTACTACTACTACTACCACTTACTATTACTATCACTACTACTACTACTACTACTACTACTACTACTACTACTACTACTACTACTACTACTACTACTACTACTTACACTACTACTACTACTACTACTACTACTACTACTACTACTACTACTACTACTACTACTACTACTACTACTACTACTATACTACTACTACTACTACTACTACTACTACTACTACTACTACTACTACTACTACTACTACTACTACTACTACTACTACTACTACTACTACTACTAAGACTACTACTTGGCGAGGAGCGGCCACTGGGTCTTCATCGACTTAAGGTGGGCCGGACGTGCATGGTTGTCTTCGCTTTGGCTTCCGGTTGTTGTTGATTCAGGTCCTGCAGTCGACAGAGATCCAGAATGGAGAGGCCGGAGCGTGCTCGGCATGTGCCATTCAGTCATCTCTGATTCCTTTAATGCGAGGCTTCGGTGCCGCCATCTCTGGCGATGATCCCCGCAGAGGTGTGGCTCCTGCTTATTGACTTATTTAGATGTGTGGGTATTCGTCGCGACATCCAGGCCATGCTGGATCCACGTCTGGGTGTCCCTGAAAAGGCCGACCCGCGACTTGTGCAGTATATTAAATTTTAATTTAATATATAATTATATATATATATATATATTATAATTATATATATATAATAAATTAATTAAATTATATAATATATATATATATATATATATATATATATATATATATATATATGTTAGAAATATAAAGGGCACTGCCATTGTATGGCCGATCCTGCCTGCTTGGAGGCTATGGTGGAGCCTTCTCCGGATGCACCTGCACAGGTCTGCGATTTATTGTGCAGTATATATATATATATATATATATATATATATATATATTATATATTATATATATATATATATATTATATGGGCACTGTCATTCGTGCATGGTCATTCCCGTGTCGAGGCGATGGTGGTGCCTTCCACGAATGTCCATGCACAGGCCTGCGACTTGCGAATTGTTGGACACTCTATATAGCTGTGATTTGTGCATGGCCCTTACCCGGAGCCAGGTTGTGCCTCCTTCGGCGAATGTCAGTGCACAGGTGCTGCTGGGCACTCACACATGCAGTAATTCTGCCGGGTGTTCCCGATGTGAGGCGATGGTGGCTCCGCCTTCGACGGATCTCGCCGCAGAGGTGGGGCTGCATGCTTCCGATTGATCTTAACTGCCGCTGTAGACCTGCATGCATGGGACTGCACATTCAATCAAGCGATACCTTGCTGTGCTGCAGACATTAGCTGTTCTGACGAGCCCCGCTTTCCTGGAAAGTGGATGCATCACGACTAGGTCAGACTAGGTAGTGGCTCCAAGGCTCCGACAGGCTGCCAGGCTCCAACATGTCAAAGCTCAGTCTAACATGTCATATAATAGTAGGCTCCCAGGCTGCCAGGCTGCAACATGTCAAAGCTCAGTCTAACATGTATTATAGGCTCATAGGCTCCCAGGCTCCCAGGCTTTAGGGATCAACATGGGGCCCAAGCCCAAGAAAATGCCTCGTGACCGCTCTGCTTCCCGCACCCCGCGCCGGTCAGCGGTCAAAGCCAGTGCCAAGCCAGCCAGTGCCAAGCCAGCCAGTGCCAAGCCGCACCCGACCCTGTCCTCTGATGACTCCGACGAAGACCTCCTTCGATCCACTGATGAGGAGACCGGTGGGCCGCCGGGCACTGGCAGTGGCACCAGCGCTCCGAGGGGACCACCACCTCCAACGCCTGTTGTCTCTCGCGGACCACCCCCTCCAACGCCTGGTTGCTCTCGCAGACCCGCCACAGATTCTGAAGGACCACATGGACCGCCGGCACCGACACCTGCCACTGCATTTTTTGTAGGACCCGGTGGAAGTGGACATAGCGGAGGTGTGACTCACAGCTTCACTGCCCCGGTAACCCCGGTACAGGCGTTCCAACTGGCCTCCAGGGCGATCACGGCATCCTCTCCTCCGACGACCTCGACTTCCTCTGGTGGGTCCCTGGTCATCAGTCTTCCGCACAACTTGGAGTACCCAGTCGAAGTCACCATCCGATCAGACCCTAGGGAGAGGGCCGCCGTGTCTACTGAATCTAGCGGGTGATTCGATGTACAGCATTGCAGTGGCCGTGCAAACATGAGGCAAAGACTGTCAGTGATCTGTTGATTCGTCAGTCAGTCAGTGCTTGCAAGCTTGGGGACTCACAGTGCAACCGCTCAGATCTGTCAGATGCCCGGAGTCACAAACATGGGACCTATGCATTCAGGCTCCCAGGCATCGAGGCTCCCTAGGCTGCAATTAGCCATGGAGCCGACGACCGCAAATACTGTGAACATGGCGGTGTGGCGACTGGGGAGGCGAGCAATGCATAGGAGGGCCCAGAGAATCCCTTCCCCTGTAGTGATTTTTGATTCGGCGGTTAGGCTGGAGTGTTCGATCCTGCGGTTTGTTAGTGCCCTCCGCCTGAAAGGCCCTTGCCGCCGGGCCCCAGCCTAGAGGATAGGGAGAAGCTCACCTTCGACGTGAGAATGGCGGCCTGGAAGGCTGGATTCAAATATGGAAGGGCCATCCAGCAGAAGCACCTCGACGAGGCTCAGGCTTCGACTTGTCGCTCCACTCCATACGACTCTGACTCTGACGCACCGCTGCTGAAGATGACTGCAGGAGAGTGGAACTGCCTGGCCGTGGTCCTCGATCAGACGTTCGAGTTGGGGCTTGGGAAAGATGAAGCAGTGAGGCGATTCGGGGTCGGCCAAGCAGTGAGGGTATTCGGGCCTCGTGCAATTCTCCCGGACTACCCTTCGAGGAGCAGGTTGGCGATTGAAGCCCGTGGCCGTGTGCCTGCCGGTTTGTTTTCATATTCTGATGGAGTTTCTTGGCATATTCAACAGTAACATTTAAGTTAAAAAAATAATCATTTTGACTAACTTTTCGTATGCCAGCCTAAGGTGCCCGAGAGGAAGCACAACCCTGTGCCCAAGGCCAAGCAGAAGCCGGAGGTGGTAAGGGCAGCCGGCAGTGAGGTCTCAGGCGATCGTGGCACTTCTCGCCCGGAGTCAAAGGCTCCCAAGGCTCCCAGGCTCCCAGGCTTGGAGCTGTGAGCTGGTGATTTTTTAGTTTACTTTGTCCGCTCCCTGGCACGACTGTCGCTGTGTGGGCCATTGAAACCTTAGCTTGTACAGTAGCCGACGATGACAATACCGACTGGCTGCACGGGAATCAAATTTCGGGAGGTAGCCGATGCAGCTCGATTTGCTAGCGCGTCTTTGTCAAGACTTGTTGATGTTTTCTCTGACCAGGACAGCGGACGATTCTCGGCTAGCAGGCTCCTCCAAACCCGCGCCGAGGCGAGCCGGTGAGTCTCATGCATTTGAGTCGTACTTAGACCATTATTCTCGCCAGGTCCTCCTGCAGTGGGACGGGCGCCTGCGTACAGGCTGGCCAACTGCGGTCATAATGGCTTGACGGGTGATGCATCGACCCTTGAATTGCAACCTGATGACCCTTGAATGCGCTGATTCTCCGAGGTGCATTGAAGGGTCTGTTCGATGCATTGAAGGGTTGCTTCGTGGGTGCCCAACATCCCGCATGCCTACAAAGACCCTTGGATGCAACCTTGTGACCCTTGAACGCGCTGATTCTCAATAAAGGTGCATTGAAGGGTCTTTGGGATGCATTGAAGGGTTGTATCGTTGGCGCCCAACATCCCGCATCCCTACTACAAAGACCCTTGGATGCAACCTTGTCACCCTTGAACGCGCTGATTCTCAAAAAAGGTGCATTGAAGGGTCTTGTTGATGCATTGAAGGGTTGCTTCGTGGGTACCCAACATTCCGCTTAAAAAGACCCTTGGATGCAATTGGTCTATTGAAACTTCTGCTGAAGTTAAAGGGTCTTTGTACTGACAATGGCAAGGAAGTGGTGTTGCTGCAGTTGGCGCCCGAAATCTCGACATCCGTCTGGCCAGCCTGACTTGATTGAGTGCAGGGTCTGGTACATGGCGGTCATAATGGCTTGACAGTCAGCGACCCTTGGATGCAACCTTGTGACCCTTGACTGCGTTGATTCTTAAAACATGTGCATTAAAGGGTCTTTTGGATGCCTTGAAGGGTTGCTTCGTGGATGCCTACTAACATCCAGCATCTTTGAGGGACCCTTGGATGCAACCTTGTGACCCTTGAATGCGCTGAATCTCCGAGAAGGTGCATTGAAGGGTCTTTTCGATGCATTGAAGGGTTGCTTCGTGGGTGTCCAACATCCAGCATCTTTGAGGGACCCTTGGATGCAACCTTGTGACCCTTGAATGCGCTGAATCTCCAAAAAGGTACATTGAAATGGTCTTTTACCCTAAACCCTAAACCAGCCTAAACCCTAAACCCCTAAACCCTAAACCTTAAACCCTAAACCCGGAAGCATTGAAGGGTTGCTTCGTGGATGCCCAACATCCAGCCATCTTTGAGGGACCCTTGGATGCAACCTTTTGACCCTTGAACGCGCTGATTCTTAAGAGAGGTGCATTGAAGGGTCTTTTCGATGCATTGAAGGGTTGTATCGTGGGTGCCCAACATCCAGCATCTTTGAGGGACCCTTGGATGCTACCTTGTGACCCTTGAACGCGCTGATTCTCAAAAAAGTTGCATTGAAGGAATTTTATCGTGGGTGCCCAACATCCAGCAGCATCTTTGAGGGACCCTTGGATGCAACCTTTTGACCCTTGAACACGCTGATTCTTAAGAGAGGTGCATTGAAGGGTCTTTTGGATGCATTGAAGGGTTTTATCGTGGGTGCCCAGCCAACATCCAGCAGCATCTTAGTCTTTGAGGGACCCTTGGATGCAACCTTGTGACCCTTGAACGCGCTGATTCTCAAAAAAGTTGCATTGAAGGGTCTTTTCTATGCATTGAAGGGTTGCTTCGTGGGTGCCCAACATCCCACCTAAAAGGACCCTGGATGATGTAATTTCACTGTCACTGCTGATAGGCAACCCAGTCGCTCCCCGTGTTGCCAGGCTGCTTTGGTGCCCACACCGGCGCCAGCCGACGCTCCGACTTTGTGGCCTGAGTTGCTGAGACTGGTTCCTAGTCATAGGTTCCCAGGCTCCCAGGCTCCCAATATTTAAGATTTTAAGGTTGCTGCCAGGCTCCATGGTTGTTCGCCTGGGTTCGCCTCTGCCACCGTCATCTGTCCACCCTTTAAGGGCGGACAGATGACCGTGGCAGAGTCGCTCAGGGAGTCTGGGGACATGGAAACCTTGCCGGTGGCCGTTCCGTGGATGTTCACTGCCGGTGCATGCAACAGAGCAGCAACAGACTTCAGGCCCCAGGCGCCACACGCAGCATCAATCGAACCAGGTGTTTCCACTGGAAACACCTGGTTCGAATTGATGCTGCGGGGAATGCACGGCGTGCACGCGGAACATCAATTGCAGGTCCAGGCTCAACGGCTTGGAAAATTAAGCATGCGCCGTGGAGTCCTCATCGTCATCATCGATCATCAATGTCATCAGGTTCCCAGGCCCGTTCCAGGTTCATGGGCCGCAACATCATCATCACCATCATCATCATCATCAGTCATCTGAGTCATATGCGAGGCTTCCAGGCCCAGAGGGCCCAGAGGATATGCGTGCCACGGGCTTGTAGAGTTGACTTGCAAGTTGTAGTCCAGCCGGATTGGTCTGAGAGTTTTAGGTGTCACAATTTCTGGAGAAAAACAGTGTGGAAGCGGCAGAGATTCTGCCGCTTCCGCGCCGTCCCAGGTTCACGGGCATGCAGGAGAGCGTGTCGAAGCTCGAGGTGTTCTCCTGCATGCCGTGCCCGTGTGGTATCGGCTTCCAGGTTCAGCTCGGCTAAAATAAGTTTTCCTAACCAGTCCGGCTTCGCGACTGTTGCCGAATTCATCTGCGGCTGAAGATCTGCCGCAAGACTCCCTCCCTGGCTGGGCCGAGACATGTGCCGTTACATGACAATCATCACGAGGCTCGGGAAAGGTTCGGTTCCTAGGTTCCCAGGCTCCCAGGTAGAATAGTTCGTTGGGTTGCCAAGCTCAGTCTGTTACCCTCAGTCAGGGAGTCTGTGTTCGGCAGAACTTTGAATTGCTCCGCTGGCAACCCAGCTCCCTGGGCTGATAAAATATAATAATAGTTCCGTGGAGTCCTCATCGTCATCATCTGTCATCAATGTCATCAGGTTCCCAGGCCCGTTCAAGGTTCATGGGCCGCAACATCATCATCACCATCATCAGTCATCAATGTCATCAGGTTCCCAGGCCCGTTCAAGGTTCATGGGCCGCAACATCATCATCACCAGCACCATCATCATCTTCAGTCATCAGTCGAGGTTTCCAGGCCCAGAGGGCCCAGAGGATATGCGTGCCACGGGCTTGTAGAGTTGACTTGCAAGTTGTAGTCCAGCCGGATTGGTCTGAGAGTTGAAGGTTTCACAAGGTTGCTGGGTTCTAACACTCTTTGCCTGTTTGCCTGTTCCCACACGGGCTAGGAGAGCGTGTCGAATCGACATGCTCTCCTGCATGCCTGTGTGGTATCGGCTTCCAGGTTCAGCTCGGCAACCGCATATGAAATTATTAAGTTTCTCCTAACCAGTCCGGCTTCGCGACTGTTGCCGAATTCATCTGCGGCTGAAGATCTGCCGCAAGACTCCCTGGCTGGGCTGAGACATGTGCCGTGACATGACAATCATCACAAGGCTCGGGAAAGGTTCGGTTCCTAGGTTACCAGGCTCCCAGGTAGAATAGTTCGTTGGGTTGCCAGGCTCAGTCTGTTACCCTCAGTCAGGGAGTCTGAACCCAGCTGAGACGTGTGCCGTGGCATGACAGTCATCATCGAGGCTAATTAAATTTTAAATAAAGATATAATTTTAACACATGCCCCGTGGAGTCCTCATCGTCATCATCTGTCATCAATGTCATCAGGTTCCCAGGCACGTTCAAGGTTCATGGGCCGCAACATCATCATCACCATCATCAGTCATCAATGTCATCAGGTTCCCAGGCCCGTTCAAGGTTCATGGGCCGCAACATCATCATCACCAGCACCATCATCATCTTCAGTCATCAGTCGAGGTTTCCAGGCCCAGAGGGACCAGAGGATATGCGTGCCACGGGCTTGTAGAGTTGACTTGCAAGTTGTAGTCCAGCCGGATTGGTCTGAGAGTTGAAGGTTTCACAAGGTTGCTGGGTTCTAACACTCTTTGCCTGTTTGCCTGTTCCCAGACACGGGCTGCAGGAGAGCGTGTCGAAGCTCGGCATGTTCTCCTTCAGCCCGTGTCGTATCGGCTTCCAGGTTCAGCTCGGCAATCGCAAATGAAATTAATTAAGTTTCTCCTAACCAGTCCGGCTTTGCGACTGTTGCCGAATTCATCTGCGGCTGAAGATCTGCCGCAAGACTCCCTCCCTGGCTGGGCTGAGACATGTGCCGTGACATGACAATCATCACGAGTCTCGGGAAAGGTTCGGTTCCTAGGTTCCCAGGCTCCCAGGTAGAATAGCTGGGCTGAGACCTGTGCCGTGGCATGACAGTCATCATCGAGGCTACAATAATAAATTTAAATAAATTTAATAAGCATGCCCCGTGGAGTCCTCATCGTCATCATCTGTCATCAATGTCATCAGGTTCCCAGGCCCGTTCAAGGTTCATGGGCCACAACATCATCATCCCCATCATCAGTCATCAATGTCATCAGGTTCCCAGGCCCGTCCAAGGTTCATGGGCCGCAACATCATCATCACCATCATCATCATCAGTCATCAGTCATATGCGAGGCTTCCAGGCCCAGGGGGCCCAGAGGATATGCGTGCCACGGGCTTGTAGAGTTGACTTGCA